CCCCCCAACTACTACTACTACTACTACTACTTCCACCACCACTATCTCCCACTTCTGAAGTAGTAGAAGTGGTGGTGGTAGTTGACAAGTGGTGTTCTCCAAAAATCTCTCTTTGTACATTTTCGGAATGCACTTAATAATCTCTTGTGTAACTTTTTAAAACATGACCTATGGACCTATGGCCACCCCAAAGCTTCAGCTCTGGCTTGCAACTTGTGGCCTCAACCTAAATGTGTCGAATTCTGATGAATATTCTTTCTCTCCTTTTTCCAGCGCCACCCTAAATAAATGTGTCTAATTCTAATGAATTTTATCATTATTTTTTCCCCTTTTTTATCTCCCAGGACAAAGCCTATCTCCAGCCCTACATTGATGAAGTGATGAAGGAGATGGAAGAGAGGAAAGAATGGGACGCCAAATAAACTCGTAAATTATTCATGAAGATCAGCCATACGCCTATAATTATGTAAAATGTAATAATGTCAGTGACCGGCAGGATTATGCGATGAATGGATTTGACAATTTCGGTGTTTTTGATTTTCAATAAAAAAAAAGATGGAAAATCAACGCGATCCTGGGTGTAGATTTGTGTGTGAATGAGTGTGGGAAGAAATTACTGCGACTGGAGTTAGCTGGAGATATGTCTGTCTGCTGTGGATAAAATGTTGTCCAATAAAGTTTTTTCTTAGATCTAGTCGACCTTGTTGTTCCCTGTGTGGTTTTCATGTGTTTTGCTTGTGGTTTGTTGTTTATGGTGGTAATATTAATAAAAAAATAAGTGGGTGGTTGGTGGGTGCTCTGGTGTGGTTTGCTCCTTCTTTCCTATCAAACATCTATTGTCCTTATCTCCCCCTTTTTTATGTTTGTTACTCGCTTTTTACACCTCTAATCTTCTGGCACTCATATGACCTTATGCAGTTGCGAACGCTGTAAAACCTCTACTAAAACAAACAAATAATAAATAATAAATAGCATTTGTATAGCGCATGTCCCCGCTCAACAGCAGGCTCTATGCGCTTTACACTATATTATTACCCCAGCAGACCACAGAACACACCGAAACATTCTCAGCGTCCCAGGAAATATACAGTGCAAGCAGCTGACTAAGCGCTCAAACACTAACAAACTGACAAGATCTTTCGCTGTCTATAGCCGGGTACCCATTCCCACCTGGGTGAAGTGAGGAAAATTTGTGTAAAGTGCCTTTCCCAAGGACACAACGTAGGGCCCCTGAGAGGGATTCGAACCCTCGACCTTACGGTTGCGAATCTGAGAGCCTAACCTCTAGGCCACCGACGCCATGGTAGTAGTGGTGATGTTAGTAATGGTAGTAGTAGTAGTAGTAGTCGTAGTGGTGATGGTAGTTGTAGTGGTAGTAGTAGTTGTGGTAGTAGTAGTGGAGGTAGTAGTGGTAGTGGTGATGGTGGTAGTTAGTAGTAATGGTGGTAGTTAGTAGTAGTGGTGGTGGTAGTGGTAGTTAGTAGTAGGGGGGGTGGGGTGGGGTTCAACAGTAGAGGTGCCTGTTATGTGAGTGGGGCTGAGTCAAACAGGATTATGTTGTTTTAAGTTTTCATTTGGACTTCTGTGCTTTTCTCAACACAGGGATCTTCCTAATCATTATGTTCAAAGAGTTACACAATTATTGCTTTTATCTGAATGCTAATGGGAACTGTTAAGAAAAGATTAAGTCAACAGTGACAACGCACCAAAGAAAGTAGTGGAAAAAATGAGGATAGTACGGATGAGGAAATGATCAAAAGCAACAGTTCCCCCCTATGTTGTTCCGGTACAGTACGAGCATGACATTGATAATTCAGCCCATTCTACTGTGCACAAGAACATGTTGTTAATGTTCCCCCTTTGGGAATGGCCTAAAGACACTTCCCTGGTGGGAGTGGGGAAAAGATAGTTCTATTTTAAAGTGGTTTTTATTTTTACAAGAAACAGCTCTTGAACTATTTTCTAGAATGGTTGGGGATCCCCTGGCATGTATACCATGTAACTGTTCTCAAAATCAACCAGAATTGACTTCACTAACTATTTTTGCTGATATAATAATAATCTCTGAGGTTTCGCGTCATATCCCTGGTTTCCTCTGACCGGCTCACATATATATATATTTTTTTCTGGATTCTAATGGGGGGAAAAAAAAGGGACACTTCCTGCCTGTTTCGACAGATGTTGTTAGAAGATCTCTTTTTTACTTTTACTCTCATATTCTCAACACAAAATAAAATAGAGCATGACATGGAAAACTTTATGGCGCTTACAAAAACAAAAACAAAAAGGTAGGGTACATAAAAAGACTGTCATCATCATCATGTTATACGTTATGTGAACTTTTTGTTTTATAATACATGGAATTGTTATACGTAAAACTTTGTTCTGGACCTGAGAAGGCACGCTGCTTCTGTTAGGAAGAAGGCCAAAAATAACCGTGATGAGATGCTTTAACCGTGGAACTGGAAGAAATACTCAAATAGGTCTCAACTCTTTGGGGGTTTTTTGGTTGTTTTTTGGTTTTTTTTGGTGGGGGGTGGGGTTCAAAAATTATTACCGGGGTTGATCTGTGGGTTTTCAATATAAATGGAGTTAGCATACACTGTTAAAAGTATGTTTTTTTAAAGTACTGTAAGTTTACCTTCAGTGTGTGTGTGCCCAAAGAAAGGTACCAAAAGTCAGATTTTGACCATTTTGAGTTATGGATTGCACCTTGTTACTTATACATACTAAAGACAATTCAAAGCTGAACACAGTGGTTTTTTAATTTTTGAGATATCTCAAGTAGTTTTTGTGATATTGGACATTTTGTGAGGTAGGGTTGAGAAAATTAGCTTTTGAATTTAGGACACTTACAAACTCGAAAAAAAACCGATGATTCAATAATTGTTTGTAAGGTATTTTTTTTTCATTGAAAATTCATTTCCAATTTGGCATTTTTTAGTTGATATCAGTATCATGATTAGAATTCAATGGTAAAACATAACGGGGAAGAGAAAACATGCTTCAACTTCAATAGAGGTCAACACCTTCTAAAAGCAGTTTGAAAAAATACCCTTGTCTCAAAACTATTCAAAATAAAATATTTAGAAGGCAAATCAATGAAAACCCTTTTATCACATTGTTAAAAAAAGGTGGAACTACCATTTTTTTATGGAAACACATTTTGGTCAAAAAATTGATTTTTTGTCATTATCAGCCTGTAAACTCCAAATTCTCTGTGGCGACTTTTGGTACCTTCTTTGGGTTCACACACTTATCTTCTCTCATCACTTCAATGAAGAGGTTGGGTTTTTTTAGGGTTTTTTTTTTGGGGGGGGGAGGTGTCAGTTTGGGAAAATATTTTCCAGACACCAGTTACAACAGGGTAAGAGCATAACAACAACACTGAACTGAACAATGTTTTTTTTAGCTGTGCAAGAACAAAAAGTCTGCACAAAAATCAACGTTAATTTGTGAGGCAGCGTGGTGGAATCAGGCTCTCGTCAAAATAATCAAAGTGAAGAAACTTGCATTTTTCTGCAGGTTTGAGTAATTTTATCGAATTTTGGAGTTTTGGCCCAACACCTTTCATGCCTATTAAAGAACTCATTTCTGTGTGGATTTGACTGAAAAACGTGGATTGAAGGCACAAAAAATGTAAATTTTCAGTTACCACGGACTCTTATGCTTAGGAAATAATTAACTTTTGGCAGCCATTTTCTCACGTATTTTACCTCTGAAACCAGGTGACCCCCCACCTCCTTCATTCGCAAATATCTCGACTTGTATTCAAGATAAATGGATATTTTTTTCCTCCAAATAAAGACAAGTGAACAAGCTTTAAGATGATACCAATAACTCTACATGCCCCAAAATTGACGAGAGCCTGATTCCACCACGCTGCCTCACATATGTCGTTATTATCATGCACGAATCTTCACGGTTAAAACAGAACAAAAATCATCCATCATCGTCTACTCCTCGAGTCATTATCGTACGTACATTATCTTCGTTGTCGTTACACCTCTCAACATGACGGAGGATGATGTCATCAAGGCTTTTGGGAAATTCGGTAATAAAGATAAGTATTTGACAAAGTTTGATGATACGCGTGTATAACAAAAATATACATACATATTATATCAATTCTTCTTGAAATTCAATGCTTGGGCAAGCAAAAATATACATCATGCATATTTCATGAAAGTTGGTGATACAAGTACACGTATAGCAAAAATAAACATTTTCCTTGAAAGTGAAAGAAATAGGTAAGTAAGCGAAACTAGATAAATATAGAAGTAAGCAAGTCGTAAAGTTCGATGAAGGTAAAGATCTAGGCAAAAATAGAAGTACGGTAGGCTTTTCCTTGATTTTCAATGGCTTGCCCTGTTAAGCAACAAGATAATATATATATTATAGTATAGCAATTAGCATATCATACATAATGAAATGTCGTTTGCACAAGAAAATAGCTTATCCCCTTTGCATTCTGTTTTACAGAAAGGGGAGCTAAAAAAGTTTTGAAATGTGCTTTTTTTCTTGAGACTGACAGCGACCACATTTCTTTAAAAATTGATGATGTATATATATATATTATATAGCTTCTATATATATATATATATCTATTTGATAAAAAATTATACGAACAACAAAGGAAGGACACAGTAAAGGCAACGGTTGATATATATGACACATGCAGGACACAAGAACACATTGCAAAGAACAAACACACACACATTGTGTGACATAGCATAAAGACGTCATATATGAGGCATCGTGGTGAAATCAAGCGCTCGTCGTCAAAATATTGAAATCAAAGAAATCGGCATTTTTTTGGCCGATGGGCATTTTTTTCTCTCTAATTTTCTTTTCTCTTGGCTCATAACCTTTTATGTCCATTCAAAAACACATTTTTGTGAGAATTTTACTGAAATAAAATGCATTAGTAAGAGGCATAAAAAATGTAAATTTTCAGTTTCCAAGGACTCTAAGACTATGGAAATTACCAAACGTTGGCAGCTATTTTTTCCTTAATTTTTTTACCTCTGAAACCAGGCGAGCCTGATCGCCTTCAATCGCAAATATTTAGACTTCTATTCAGCGTAGATGGATCTTTTCTTAACAAAAGGGAGGCCAATAAACAGGCTTTAATTTCAGATGTTGCCAATAACTGGAATAACCCCATATATGCCCAAAATTGACGAATGCCTGATTCCACCGCGTCGAGACACATATTAGATCTACACATCAAAAATCACATATGGTGAAGTAGCAAAGGCACACATAGTGAAGTGTGAGTGACGTAGAAAAAGCACATGTGACATAGCACGACTCATATAAAAGACACATACAGCTCTGTGACGTAGCTAAGGCATAGGCCTACTAACAACATTACTGACATAGTGAAATGCGACATAACAAAAGCACATAGCAGCGTGACATTTTAGTTTTAGTAGCTCTCTTCCCTCACACCAACCATGAGTGGACACCGAATCCATTGACGGCAAAAACTGGCACAGAAAATGTGCAATGTCTCCATCATCAATACTGGAGTTTGGTTTTCAAAGACAGTACATGTATATATATATATATAATCTGTCCTTATGGTATTATGCACTCCGCATAATTTAGCAAAATTTGATCATTTTTTGCAGAATTTCTGATTATTTTCCTTTATCATTCTTTGTTTTAAAATTAACAGAATTACATTAT